TCCAGTTTTCCCAACACCATTTGTTGAAGAGACTTTCTTTTCCCCATTGTATGTTCTTGGCTCCTTTGTCAAAGATTAGCTGTCCATAGATGTGTCGGTTTCAACTCTTCATCCTTAAGAATGCATTTTAAGTTCTTTTAAAATCTAAGCAGTGGCATTTTTATCTATGGGATTCTCTCTCTATAATTTTATATTCTCCTCTTCTCTTTTCCTATTTAGAATTCCATATTTAAAGTTTACTAGGACCATAAAGAAAGAGGAAAGGTGAGGTACAAACTGGGAGAAGATATTTTCCACACCTGTAACTGAATAGGATTAATATCCAGAACAAAGAAATCATTCTCAATGATTTAGCACAAAAGAATTAGAGTTAGAAAAACAATTCAAAAGAAAAATTGTCAAAAAACTTGAACAGGCATTCCACAGAGGAGAAAGCACAAATAGTCAAAACACTGTGCAAAGATGCTCAAAGTCATTAGTAACTGGAAAATACAAATTAAAACCACAAATATATCATAAACAACAGATTGGCAAAAATTCCAAAACCTGACAATATCAAGTACCGACAAAGTTGTAAAACAATGGCACTCTAATTTACTGCTGCAATGAGTAAAAATTGGAACAACCACTTTGGAAAACAATTTGGCCTTATAGACCAGAGCCAAAGGTATACATGGCCCACGATCCAACAATTCTCTAGGGTATATCCTGAGAAACTCTAGCAAAGATGCAGTGGGAAGTGTGTGCAAGAATATTCGTAACAATACTTTTATACTGGAAGCCATTTAAAGTCTGCCAACAGTGCAGTGGACTAACAACTTGAGGCATTTCATACAACAGAACACTATCCAGCATTGAAGACAAATACACAACAGCTGTATGCAACAACAAAATGATCCTTGGGAACATAAGATTGGGTGAAAAAAGCGAATTATAGAAGAATACATACATTATGATCCTATTTACAGAAAGTTCATAAAGGATTTGTTTTTAGGATTAGAAACATAATGTGGTAAAACTATAAAGAACAATAAGAGAATGATAAACAAATGATCAGGACAAGACACATGGACCTTTAATGGAAATGCTAATGGCCTATTTATTAAAAGAGGTAGTGGGCACATATTCATTACATTGTACACATTTTATAAGTATTTTTTGTGTGCCCCAATATTTAATAAAAACGACTTTTAAGAATTGGTGAAGAAGCAAATGATCAAAAATATTTTATCCAAGACTTGTTGGAAGAAGAAAAGAGACTGCAACAACATGCCAGCCATTAGGCCCTGGCAGTCTTTCCTTCCAAACATGCCAACTGGTCTACTTGTCTCTGCTCCCTCCTTGCTCACCAATCCAAAACCAACGATCACTCGGAGCTACCAGTAGTCCCAGGTTGGAGGAAAGTTTCATGATGTTCATCCGAAGCAGCAACCAAGCTTTCCTCTCTATCTGTCATCCTATCCCTCATTAAAATTCAGGCCTCCTCCAGGTGTGAATGACAAGCACATTACCCTGTTCATGAATGTGCACACACACATCCCATCTCTGCAGCTTGATTGGGTTATTATTATATCCAAATATTACTGAAGGCCATTATTACTTGACTCTTACTTTAATTTATTCTCTAACATTTGTACACATTTCATAATGATAATAGAGCTCTACATTTAAAACAAAGCATCTCCCTGTCCTCCAATCAGAACCTGAAATCTGAAAAAGCTCCTTGAAACACAGACACCTGTCTATGCTCCTCCAACTACAATGAAGCAGCAACAGCCCCTTAAAACAAAAGTAAAATTTAAAGTGAATGGTGTAGCTACAGTCAGTACAGCACTTCAGGAGAAAATAAACCTAGCTCCAGGGAAGTCTGGCTCCTCACCTCGGTAGGTCATTACAGATAAGAAAACATTCATCTCTCCCAGGCCCACCTGCCAGTGGATGGGGATCAAGAAAGTTTTGTTATATTTTCTATATCACGAAAATTTTTTATAATTGTTTTCATATCAATTACATAGTGAGTTTGGGTTCTTTCAGCAGTAACATCGCAACAGGAAAAAAAGTCAGACTGGTAAAAAAAAAATTCTTCTAAATGACCCCCTTGGAAGAGTCCATCACTCAGTCCCCTGAAGTTTACTGAAGACTGCTGTAAAAATAAAACCACTTACCTCAGCATATTGTGCTACTGAACTGGCTTCAACTGCATACACTCTCCTAGCTCCGGCCTGTACAGCAAAAAATGACAGTATTCCTGATCCACAACCCACATCCAGAACAATCTGGAAGGAAAGAAGACAAAAAGGGGTGAAAACAGATAGGTGCTTGGCTGTTGGCACCAGGCCAACCTGAGCATTGAGCTCAGACTTAAAGTACCAGCTTTGATATTTACGAGTGGTCTTACCTCTATTATTACCTTAATAACATCCACTTTTTAAGGTTTGCTGTAGGGATGAAGTAATATGAAGCGTATACAAAGCACTTGGCACATAACTGGTGTTTTTCAAATTGTTGCTATTATTATTACAGTTTCTTTGTAACATGGATTGCTTTTAGGATGTTTAGGGCCAAGAAGAGTAGAGTGTCATGAAGGAGCTTGTTTATCAAATTCGTCAGGATGAACAAAATGAAAACTGTCTCAAATAACTTACATAAATATATATACAAATGTGTGTGGCAGGGGGGAGGTTTACATGGAGGGTAGGATGGTATTAAGGCAGTGGATGGATGAAATTTACAGAAACTTTTCCCCTACGCTCTATGTTCAGATCTGGGACTTCAATCAAGAAAACCACCATCCACTGGCACAAAGGGCCAACACCAGGACCCACATGCTGAGAGGCAACAGGTGGATGGGACGTATTGGGCCCGTCTCCCCAAACACTGCTGAAGCCGAGGCCTGAATCTCAGTCTGATCGTTGAAATTCCAGGTTCCTGTATTTCTGTCTCATCAGTGACTTTTATTCTTAGCATCTTTTAGCACTAGCTTTGAGCAAGGCATTTTGCCTGACTCAATCCTCACAATAAACATATAAGTAGAGAGCATTATCATGCCCACTTTGTAGATGACAGAACTGGAAATCAGAGACATTGAACAACCAGCCCGATTTCACCTAGCAGTAAGTAGGGGGTTGAGGCTGGACATTTCTGCCTTCCAAGCTCATGTTCCATAAAAATCATACATTGCTTATTTAAGTTCATCTTTATAAATCTGACATTTAACACAGCAATACCAATTGATAGGCACTGTTTGACAAGGAAACAAAGCATTACATTACATTGGAAAATTTTTTGCCTTTTTTTTTACTTTGATAGCAGGAAAAATTTTCCAAAAAATAGGAAATTTCAAGAGGTTGTGCGTGCATGTGTATGTGTTTTAACTGCAATATCACACTGTGCTGACACAGATACTGTGCCATTATTCTAAGAGAACATGCTGTTAGTAATGGGTTCACAGTGCTCACTTATATTAATTCTAGAGCTGTGGCTGTATTCCATATGGTTTCCTGGGGTTTGGGTAATTAGGAGCATTACCAATTTAAAATGTCACCCAGTCTCCAGAATTTGTTGTCAGGCTGTCTATACTTTAAAAAAAAATACCAATATTCACTTCTCATCTTCCCTAGGAAATACATCATCTTCACATGGCCCTGGTCCATTGCAAGAACACCCATGAGTGCTGTTTAGGGAGTGGAGGCCATTAAGTTGGAGAATGCAATCCACGGACCCCCAAAAAGATGCACTACATCCAGAAGAAGCTTTCCAGAGCCTTCTTCAATTAAAAATATAACACCTTAGAATTCATGTTCAGTCCAAAATATGGATGCAAAATTAAGAGACAATGGAAATTAAACCTGCTTGCTCTGATAAAAAGTGCCTTAGAAATGTGTGAATGGAGCTCGGTGTCTTCTTTTATTAGGGTGTCATGAAGTACATCCTAGAGCAGTGTTTCCTGCAGACTAAAAACCAAGGAAATGTTTTACCACTAGGAGAGAGACAGGAGAAAGGGAATAGGGAGAAAGAGAAAAGGGACTGAGATGGGAGAGAGCATGATATGGTTCAACTTTTGCCAAATTACTCCATTTGGTAGGAAGATGCTTTGACAGACCCAGACCATATCTAGAGAAGAGGTGAAAAATTACAAACTGAGGCAATTTTCCAAATACCTTATTTCAATACCTAATTTCAAGCCAAATAACCTTATTTGTTTGGCTATTTTAAAACAGAGCATAGGCCTTGAAAAAGAATCTGAGCTTTTGCTAGCATTATCCAGATAATGCCATCTGCTTCCTGCTTGTGTGTAGATTTAAAAAGTTAACAAGTGAATTTTCAGTCTGGGGCCAGTAGGAGAGGGTGAGGAGGGAGAGGGATATTTCGCCTTGTCTACATAAGCCATGCACCATTGGAAACAAAGCTGTGGAGGGCAGAGAATAAATTCTCTCGTGAAAAACCAACAGTCAAAGCAAATATTTACCCCTAACGGAAATATACGACCTCAGCCCTTTCCAGCTGTGATTTCCAAGACTGGGAGAAGAGAGGACATTAACACAGATAATTCTGTTACACTTTCCGCCACGGCACCTCAGGAAGCCTAGGAGCTACCTCTAATCCTATTTTCTCGTCCTCACAGAAGATTATATTGAGCTCATTTTTTATTCTAACATTGGTAGACCATCCCCCTACTGGGTATGTTTGAGGACCTCGGCAGATATTGCCCTAGGAAAAAATATCTCCCCTCACGCAGAGGCAAAAAAGAGTAATAAAATCCCCTTGTATCTGTAAAGCAGTTTATAGTCTCCAAAGGATGTTCCTCTGATGCTATCTATTTGATCTTCATGCCTCCTGGGGATGGAGAGTGCATAGTTTTGCCCCCATTTTATTGATAAGGAAACTAAGGCTTGGAGAGACTAAGTTTCCAGCCCAAGGTAACAGGCCTGGTAAGTGGCAGAGCTGGGATGAGAATCCAGCACTCAGCTCTCTGCGTCTTTTGTGTAGCAAAAGGCAAGAGGAAAGGGTGGATGGTGAAGAGATGTACATCTGATCATATCACACCTGAGTAAACACCCCCGATGGTTCCACACAGCCAGAGGAAAAGGCTCAGTCTCTGGGGTCGGTCATCCTCGGGCCTGAGCAATCCTGCAATGACTGAGTTTCTGGCCTCTTTTTCTGTAATTCTCATCTACCTTCCTCTCACACACCCTGGGCTCAGCAACTGTGTCCCTTTCCCTGATTCTAGGCTCCCTCATGTGCAATCCCTGTGGTACAGGCAGCTAACAGCCTAGCAAAGGTTCACGCTCTCTCAGAGTACAGTTGTTGGGAAGCAGCTGCCCAGCCAGGACTACAGTTCCCTGCCCCCTTGCATAGAAATATGGCCATGTCACTAGTTCTGACCAATGGAATGTGAGGGGAAGTGATGAGAGTCACTTCTGGGCCAAGGTGGTTAAGGGTCTAGGGTACCTTCCCCACACTCTCTGCTCCTTATGCAGTGGCACTGGAAACTACCTGTTGGAGGTGAAAAGAGCCTGAATCCCTGGGTCACCACTTTGGGAAAAGCCACTTAGAAAACACTGGACATGGCATGAGCAAGAAATAAATTTTATTACATTAAACCACTGAGATTTAGGGATCATTTGTTTTAGTAGTTGGCATACACTAACCAATACATTTCCCTTGGGTGAAATCCCTCCTCTCATTTTCTACCTGGGAAACTCAAGACCCAGCTCAGGGGTCCTTTCCCTGACGTCCCCAGACAGTTGGTCTAGGTTGGGCTCTCTGGCACCTGGTACACAGCTCTCTCTAATAGCACTTATTACAGGGTATTGCAAGCATTTCTTTACATGTTTGCCTTCCCTGCATAGTCTATGAGCCCCTCAAAGACAAGAATTACATCATTTATTTCTCAGCACCTAGCACAGTAGGAAACATAAAAACCATAATTAATATTTGTTTACTAAATGACCTAATGGGATGACTCAATATGGCAGTCTCCTAATTCCAACATCACCTTGAAATATCTTTGAAAAAGGCTTATGGTTTTTGCCAGCCACGTGGACTCTGGGAGTGTTCTTGCATCACAAAGCCAGCACCCAGAAAGGATGAGCTCGGGGACTACCTTGCCTCATTCAAGACTTATATCCTGCACTGCTTCACTCAACCCTGTCTTCTGCTTTCTGGACTATTTCTTATTTCTTGGCCTCCAAGTCCCCTCACAGACCTGAAACTTTACACTCTGTCTCTCCTCACGATCTCTGCCCTTCCTCCTTGACTATGATCTGAACATGTCCTTTGGGTCACTCTTCTGACTATTTGAGGTAGCTTTCTGCCCTGACACAGGCCTTCTTGGAAGGTTCCATACTGCTTTCTGCCACAGGGCGCTAGTACATGCTGCTTGCTCTGCCTGGGGTGCTCCCCACTGCAAACTCTATGATATCAGTCTATGGTAATTATTTTTTTACCCAATGCCCATCATGCTAGATCTTTTCTATTTGCTCCTCCAGATCAATTCCCCACTCTTCTCCGTCTTGCTATTTGTAAGCAGCCCGACCTATATGGACTACATCAATGGGATTCCTTGTCATTGGATTCTAGTTGGGATCAGTGAGAAGACAACAGAAGGTCAGAGGGAGTGAGGTCAGATGATTTATTTTCCTGGCTTCTTCCTTCCTGGGTCTCCACAGATTGCTTGCGTCCCCTCTACCAAAGCCACAGCTCTTGTTGGGCCTCCATCTCCTACAGCTATGACCATTCTCTCAGGTTTCCAGTAACTACTTCCCTTTGCCCCTTTAGGCCTCAAGATGGTAACAGATCCCCACTCTTGCTAGTGCCAGGGTGCTTCACCATCTCTTGTTGGTTCCCTTAACTTTGCCCACATCTTTGTTAACAGTCCCGTTATTTACCTCTCCTAAAACACCCTGATGGGTGTGCTATCTCTCTCCTACAGGGACCCTCGCTCATACACCAACTCATCCTTCAGATCCTGAACAACTCTCCATCAGGGAGGACTTCCTTAATCTTTGCTCCCCTCCCAGACTAAATAAAGTCCCTCTGTTGCATGCTTTCTTATCATCACCCCCTCATACCCTTCCTTCCTAACACTCATCACAATTATAATTTTTCATTCAATGAGTGATTATTTGGTTAATGTCTGCTTCCTCCCCTGGACTATAAGTTTCACTAAGGGAGAGACCCCCATCTGTTTCTTGCTCACTATTGAAACTCTGAGATAGCACAGAGTCTGGCACATAGTAGACACACTCACTAAATCTTTGTTGAACAAACTGAA